AACAAAGCCTGGCTAATGAAACGTTGGCTGAAGCACATATCAAATTAGAACCAATTCCGGATACGGAATTGGCCTGCGACGAATGGTTCACAAACTTGATGGCCAAATACGGGGACACATCCAGACAGATGCTACTGAAAAAAAATGCGACAAGCATATGCGACCCCTACGAACATAACATCTTTAGAGGATGCCCACCAACATTATATGAACCACAGATTCAAGAAGTCACGGGCACTTCACCACTGCATCGAAAAGGTCATGAAAATCTCGACCACCAATTTGAGTGCAGCCCACAATGACCTCACCAACTTGATTGCCGTGCTCAAAACTATATGCCGGCGAATGAATGTGGACTCGGGATCTCACGTTGACAACGTGATATTTCGATATTCTGAACGTCTCCCAGCATGGGCACGCAACCTATTACTCATGACCGACGATGCCGATAGCTTTGTAGAACATTTGTCTCTTTTGGCAACAACGCGCCAAGATCGTCTAGCAAATTGCGATCTTGACAACACTAAGCATTCACCGCGGCCAACACCACACTCCCCCCGCTACAATGATCAACGACAACACTCAATCACGGGACACAACCACCGACGAACTTCTCAGACCAGCAAGTACCCGAACAGACACTACCATAACAACTACGCGAACCGGCCCAAACTAACGTGTTCCATACATGGCGAAGGTTATCACAATGACGAAATGTGCTTTGCACAGAAGAATACCCATAAAGCCCTAGCACTCAAGTATTTTCGCCCCTCAGAGGAACCTACCGCTGATTCGGACAGACCTGGGAGTAGCACTACTAGACACGGGGAGCGATATTAACCTGGCTAGACTGACATCAGGATTGCGAATACTCAAGGACCGCACCCCACCGCCGAATATTCGTGACGCGAATGGACAGCAAATAACCATCGTAGGGTACGTCAACCTCAATGCAACGTTGCCCGATAACACTACTTCGCGCTTCACATGCTGGGTAACCCCACAATTGCCCGTCCCCATATTAGTCGGGTTACCACAACTCGACCAATGGGGCATAACTTGGGATTTCAAGACCCCAGCAGGCCGTAAAGACGATCACATTCCCTTGCCGAAACAAACGATTCCAGCGGCTAATGTCAAGCCTGTTGACTTAGAATTACTTGACGCTAACACCAAACCAATTGTGACCAAGCCTTATGTCTTTCCAGCCGGAATTAGAGACAAAGCTGACGAAGCAATACAAGATATGCTCAAGCAAGGCATTATAACTCAGTCTAGTTCACCGTGGGCTTTCCGACCTCGGTTAGTATTCCATCCGGACAAACCAGTCAGAATCTGCGGTAACTATATCCCGCTCAACACTCTACTAAAAGGAAACAGCTACCCCTTACCGAATATGGAGGAAATGCTGCAATTACTCGCACAAGGCAAGTATTTTGCTAAAGTGGACTTGACCAAATCTTTTTGGCAACTTCCACTGACAGCACAAAGCAGGCAACTGACTGCCTTCTATGGAGTGAGGGGTCTTTATGAATACACACGACTACCTTTCGGTCTAAAAGTAGCTCCGGCACTTTTCCAACAGACCATAGATCAAGTGCTCAAAGATCTCCCATGGGCTTTCCCATATGTCGACGACATCGCAACTATCGGTGCCACCGAAGAGGAATGCGCTGATCGGATAAGAGCCATTGTAGAAACCCTAACCCAAAAAAGGTTCGCTATCAATTACGACAAGTCAGTATTAGAACCACAAAAGGAGCTTGATTTCCTCGGACACAAGATCGCTTATAAATCGATAGTACTACACCCACGACACGTCGAAGCTATGCAAGCTCAACGACCTCCGCTATCCAAGGCTGACCTTCACAGCTTCCTTGGCTTGGCTAATTGTTTTAGGAGGTTTATTCCGCGATACGCCGAAATTGCACAACCACTGTACACAACACTACACCAACCAGAGTGGGGTTTCGGAGAAAAAGAACTTAAGGCGTGGAGTCACTTGAAGGAAGTGCTGACACAACTTCCGAATTTGCACCCGATTGACAGCGACAGTCCGATTGTTCTAGATACCGACGCATCGCAGCGAGGTATCGGAGCCTGTCTATATCTCCAAAAGGACAACGACCTCTTTCCTGTGGCGTACGCCTCCCACGCATTCACTAAACAAGAAGCCAAGTGGCCAATACGGGAACTCGAAGCCTTTGCAATAGTCTGGGCCCTTCGACATTTCCGACAACTTCTCCTAGGACGCAACATTACGATTCGAACGGATCATGAATCCCTCCGTTGGATGCGAAATTGTGACAAGGGCCGTATAGCACGCTGGAACTCCTCATTAGATGAATTTGATTTACAGATTATTTACAGAAAGGGGAAGGAGAACCAAGTAGCGGACTACTTGAGCAGGCACGTGGAACTAGATGATACTACTAAATCTATTGAAGAAGATACACACCCTTATTTATCATTACCTGCACTTGAACATCCACCGATCACACTACACACCGGCACTCGGATTCACAAATATTCCTCACTTGACTTAGAAACGATCAAGGAGCACTCAAATGAAGACGTGGAAGCTGAACAACTTCGGATACAAGGCGTTCTCGAGAAACACGACGGATGCTACTGGGAAGGAAAAAGGTGTTTCGTCCCACGTGACCTACGGAATAATACTTTGGATGACTTCCACTCACCAAATGGGCTCCATCTCGGAACGACGAAAACGTACCGATCTTTGAGTGGCGCATACTATTGGCCTAAGATGCACGAGCAGGTATCTCAGTTCGTGAAGACGTGTCCGGAATGTATACGGACGAAGGCCCGACACGACTCCCGTCAAGGGCTTCCACTACATGTCCGAGCTACCGAACCTTTAAGCATGCTCATGATAGACGTATATGGACCTGTAAGAAGACCTGGACGGAACCCGAGCTACATCCTCAATCTCCTGGATGTAGCCTCACGATATTGGCAAATCTCCATCATTACCCAACCATTCACGTCTTCCTTACTCTGGGAAGCATTACTCCAAAAATGGTTCTTACCATTCACAGTCCCTGAACGAATCATATCTGATAACGCAACAATTTTCCATTCCCGGTATACACGGGATATGACCTCGCGTTTGAAAATATCGTGGACTCACAACGCTCCTGGATTCCCACAAGCAAGAGCCCCAGTTGAGATTATCAATCGACATCTTAACAACTTCTTTAGGACCCCGGAGGAACTACCGCGTACCTGGCCATTCCAACTGAAACTTCTGGTGCAACAATATAACCTGACGCATCATGAAAGTCTGGGTTTCTCTCCAGCTGCACTGCTTTTCGGTCGGCAAACACCCCAACAGACTGGAATTACTGTGGACTTGCTAAAGGACAATGAACAACACGTCATGGAAACCAACGAGATCAGACGGCGAGCCGACCAGCGTATGAAACAACTCCAGAGCGAATTGGACGAGAAGATGGCGCATATCAACTTTAATCCTGTTGTTGGCATGATGGCATGTGCTCGTATCTTCCCGCATGCGAAGCACGACACCCAATTCTCTGAACCAATACTTATTGTAGGCGTGGATTATTCTAGAAATGAGGTTTTACTGCAACAAGGGAATCAGGTGATCAGAAGGAATTTCAAACAAATCCGACTGTT